CTGGATTAGATGAAAACTGCCTAGGCACTGAAGTCAGCAGTGTATTATTCTGCAGTCTCAGAAGAGTGCTTGGGCTTGGACCGCAGTCTACTCTTATCCCCATGCCTAGCAGACTTCGGTGCCCAAGGTCTCTCCCTTTTGGCCGTCTGCTTCTTATGTCTCTTCTTAGGCAATGGGGATGATGAGCAGTGTCAGGACTCAGGTATGGCAGGAGAAACACTCCTTACTGACATCGAGGCACTCGGTGCTGAGTCTGACTAACCTGGCTCAGATGGAGAGCTCAAGAACTCTTCCATGAGTACAAACTTTAGGATGGCTTCATGATCTTTCTTCATATGGATAGTAATTTCATGCTCTAATAAGAATATAACGTTAGGGATCTATTATCGACCAACTGACCAGGACAGTGATAGTGATGATGAAATGCTAAGGGAAATTAGAGAGGCTATCAAAATTAAGAACTCAATAATAGTGGGGGATTTCAATTATCCCCATATTGACTGGGAACATGTCACCTCAGGACGAACTGCAGAGACAACATTTCTCGATATTTTAAATGACTGCTTCTTGGAGCAGCTGGTATGGGAACCCACAAGGGGAGAGGCAACTCTAGATTTGGTCCTGAGTGGAGCGCAGGAGCTGGTCCAAGAGGTAACTATAACAGCACCGCTTGTAAATATTGACCATAATATAATAACATTTAACATCCCTGTGGTGGGAAGAACATCTCAACAGCCCAATACTGTGGCATTTAATTTCAAAAAGGGGAACTATGCAAAAATGAGGGGGTTAGTTAAACAAAAATTAAAAGTATCAAAGGGGTAGCCATGTTTGCTGCTTTTACAGATCCAGACTAAGAGTCCTGTGGCACCTTATAGACTAACAGACGTATAGGAGCATGAGCTTTCGTGGGTGAATGCATCCGAAGAAGTGGGTATTCACCCACGAAAGCTCATGCTCCTATACGTCTGTTAGTCTATAAGGTGCCATAGGACTCTTTGCTGCTTTTACAGAAATTAAAAGGTACAGTGACTAAAGTGAAATCCCTGCAAGCTGCATGGGCACTTTTTAAAGACACCATAATAGAGGCGCAACTTAAATGTATACCCCAAATTAAGAAACACAGTAAAAGAACTAAAAAAGAGCCACCGTGGCTTAACAACCATGTAAAAGAAGCAGTGAGAGATAAAAAGACTTCCTTTAAAAAGTGGAAGTCAAATCCTAGTGAGGTAAATAGAAAGGAGCATAAACACTGCCAAATTAAGTGTAAAAATGTAATAAGAAAAGCCAAAGAGGAGTTTGAAGAACGGCTAGCCAAAAACTCCAAAGGTAATAACAAAATGTTTTTTAAGTACATCAGAAGCAGGAAGCCTGCTAAACAGCCAGTGGGGCCCCTCAATGATCAAGATACAAAAGGAGCGCTTAAAGACGATAAAGTCATTGTGGAGAAACTAAACGAATTCTTTGCTTCAGTCTTCACGGCTGAGGATGTTAGGGAGATTCCCAAACCTGAGCCGGCTTTTGTAGGTGACAAATCTGAGGAACTGTCACAGACTGAAGTGTCACTAGAGGAGGTTTTGGAATTAATTGATAAACTTAACATTAACAAGAAACCGGGACCAGATGGCATTCACCCAAGAGTTCTGAAAGAACTCAAATTTGAAATTGCGGAACTATTAACTAGGGTTTGTAACCTGCCCTTTAAATCGGCTTCTGTATCCAACGACTGGAAGATAGCTAATGTAACGCCGATATTTAACAAGGGCTGTAGAGGTGATCCCTGCAATTACAGACCAGTAAGCTAACGTTGGTATCGGGCAAATTAGTCGAAACAATAGTAAAGAATAAAATTGTCAGACACATAGAACATACATTGTCTGGCAAAAGTCAACATGGTTTCTGTAAAGGGAAATCGTGTCTTACTAATCTATTAGAGTTCTTTGAAGGGGTCAACAAACATGTGGACAAGGGGGATCCAGTGGACATAGTGTACTTAGATTTCCAGAAGCCTTTGACAAGGTCCCTCACCAAAGGCTCTTACATAAATTAAGTTGTCATGGGATAAAAGGGAAGGTCCTTTCATGGATTGAGAACTGGTTAAAAGACAGGAAACAAAGGGTAGGAATTAATGGTAAATTCTCAGAATGGAGAGGGGTAACTCGTGGTGTTCCCCAAGGGTCAGTCCTAGGACCAAACCTATTCAAATTATTCATAAATGATCTGGAGAAAGGGGTAAAAAGTGAGGTGGCAAAGTTTACAGATGATACTAAACTGCTCAAGATAGTTAAGACCAAAGCAGACTGTGAAGAACTTCAAAAAGATCTCACAAAACTAAGTGATTGGGCAACAAAATGGCAAATGAAATTTAATATGGATAAATGTAAAGTAATGCACATTGGGAAAAATAACCCCAACTATACATACAATATGATGGGGGCTAATTTAGCGACAACAAGTCAGGAAAAAGATCTTGGAGTCATTGTGGATAGTTCTCTGAAGATGTCCAGGCAGTGTGCACAGGCAGTCAAAAAAGCAAACAGGATGTTAGGAATCATTAAAAAGGGGATAGAGAATAAGACGGAGAATATATTATTGCCCTTATATAAATCGATGGTACGCCCACATCTTGAATACTGCGTACAGATGTGGTCTCCTCATCTCAAAAAAATACATACTGGCATTAGAAAAGGTTCAGAGAAGGGCAACTAAAATGATTAGGGGTTTGGAACGGGTCCCATATGAGGAGAGATTGAAGAGGCTAGGACTTTTCAGCTTGGAAAAGAGGAGACTAAGCGGGGATATGATAGAGGTATATAAAATCATGAGTGATGTGGAGAAAGTAGATAAGGAAAAGGCAGCAGGTTTAAAACAAATAAAAGGAAGTTCTTCTTCACACAGCACACAGTCAACTTGTGGAACATCTTGTGAAGGCTAGGACTATAACAGCGTTTAAAAGAGAACTGGATAAATTCATGGAGGTTAAGTCCATTAATGGCTATTAGCCAGGATGGGTAAGGAATGGTGTCCCTAGACTCTGTTTGTCAGAGGGTGGAGATGGATGGCAGGAGAGAGATCACTTGATCATTACCTGTTAGGTTCACTCCCTCTGGGGCACCTGGCATTAGCCACTGTCGGTAGACAGGATACTGGGCTAGATGGACCTTTGGTCCGACCCAGTACGGCCGTTCTTATGTTCATGTGAACTTAAAGTCTGCACATTTGGGAACGCTCTATGATATGAGCTTCCTCAAGGCACTTCAAGCAAGTTGAGTGCAGGTTGCTCATGGGCATAGCCTTATTGCAGGAAACACAGGGCTTGAAGCTGGCTGATCAAGGCATTGTGACTGAAATCCTGAGATGGTAAAAAGAAATCTAACTAACTAAACACTAATAACCTTAACACTAATTATTTACAAAACAAGAGAACATAGTCCACTGGGAGAACTTTCAAATGCAAAAAGAGCAGTTCCAGTGACTGTCACAGGGGGTGAGATGGGACTGAGGAGGGTTGGGTGGGTCTTTTGTACCCGTGCCACTATTGCACAGCAGAGGGCACTCAAACCACTGAGAGAAAAAATTTCTGGCGACTGTGCACGAGATATGCACACACCAAGAGTGGAATGCACATGTGCAATCACTCAAAGAAGAACTAACATTTAACAAATACTTAATCTATTTACGTTAGCGACTGCCTAACTATTTGCAAGTAACAATAGATGACAAAGAGAGCTGAAAGAACCAGGGCTTGAAGGAACACAGGGTGCTCCAACTCCATCACAACCAGGGAGAAGGAACTGAGAGGGAGTTGGAGAAGCCTTGTCCTTTATACCCTTCAGGTGTGAGCACAAGGACACAGCACACATTTACAATCCTAACGGTAATGATTGCAACAATCCCCAACTCTTGTTCACTGGTCACACATACACCTACAATGAAATGTATACATCTGCAATCACTTGAAAGAGAACCACTGCTGCAAAGTGCTATGGGCCAGTAAAAGGAGAGTAGGGCCCATAATCCCTTGGCATTCTTGGGTTTCAACCTGAACTCAAAAACTAATCTGCAAAGCAATTGATGATACGTCAAAAGTGGAATAAGGAGCCAGAGAGAGAGAGAGAGAGAGAGAGAGAAACACAAAGGAAAAATATCGTATGTACAAGTCAGAAAAGACTTCTGAATTTAATTGATTCTTCAAAGGCAGGAAGCCTAATAGCCATATCAAAAGGAAGGGCAGAGGAGTCAGTGACTGAACATGAGAACATTTTCAACTGGTATTCTGTGCCTCCTACATGATATGCAATGTAGGTGAAGGACCATCCTGTCTCATGTGCACCATGGGCAACCAGTTCATACAAATAAAACCACAGCCCCCTAATTCTCCAATGACTGTGATAGGGTGTACAGACCCCACTGATTAGGAAGGTGCCAGAGATGCCATGGAGGAAGGGCTAGCCCCACACCGCTGGTCTTGCCAATCATATATGGTAGGGAGGAGGTCTTTGAAATGGAGGAAACTGCAGTCAGCTGGAGAGGGAAGAGCAAGATTACCCTAAGCTGGAGCCACAGGGGGAACTCACAGGGAGACCTTCTCCCCGACCTGTGGGCAGTACAGCAAACACCCATGGTAAGCTGGACAGAGTAAGCCTGACTCAGCAGCCCAGCCCGAGAGATTTCTTAAAACCCACTACACAGATCCTGTATTGTTGGCAGCATTGTGGACCTTCTTTCCCCCCTATAAGGGGCCCCGGGAAGGGGAAACTCTCGAGTCCATTGGGGTACTTAACTTTCCTTTTGATTCCACCATCCAGAAAGACGCAAAGAGCCCTGCAAAGGGCAGGGCCTCCTTGCAAAACCTAAGGAACTGGGGCCTGTGCTGGAGCCACCCAGTGTAAATAACCATCCCACCATCTGGGAGAAAAAACTTAGGAGACTCCTTTACTACGAGCTTATCAAAAGACATAATTATTTTATTATAAACTTTAAAACCAAGCATTACTCACCAGGCATGTGACCACATCACGCATGTTCCTCCTCCGGAGCATTTGCAGACACAGCCTCTAGCTTTATTTCTCTTAGAATCATCATGAGGAAAGCCAAGAGAATGGCCCATCTCATGTGCAACACTGACTGCATCATAAAGCACTGATCTAGATATCGCCTGTACACAGTTAGACAAAACACCAAGACAAGGAGTTATGAATTACATATGAACATAAAAAAGCCAAATTTTAAGAGTTGTGTGACTACATGAACACACTGGATAATATCATTTGCAAACATATATCTAGAACATGGCAGAATCCCACAAGAGAACTTTCAGCGTGAAGGAGTAATTTCTTCACACTGCCCTCTGAGATCATTTTAAGAGGTGGGAAAAAATGAAGCACTCACAAGTGATATGTCTAGCTCTGCCAAGGTCCCCAAGCCATAGAATTTTACCCAATAATTCCTACATCTATTCCATAAATTCTGGTTGTGCTAAAGCATTTCTTTTATAAGGACATACATTCCTGATTTAAAGACTCCATGTGATGAAGAATCCACCATAACACGTAGCAAGCTGTTTTAATGGTTAATTAACTTCACTGTGCCTTATCTCCATCCAAATTCACTCAGCTTCAGATTCTTCTCTTTGATAAGCCAAATAGATTGAACTTTTTAAATCTCTCACCTTAAAGCAGGTTTTTCACACTGAATCATTCTTATACCTCATCTAAATCACTTCCAATTTTTCACCATTCATGTGAAAGTAAAGAGTAGGCAATGTGGGAGAGGGAAAGTGGAGACCCCATGTTTGGAAGATTAGCAGAAAGAACTTTATCATAATGGATCACTGATATCAATTTCAGATAAGATAAGAGTAGGTAAATAACTTTCACCTATTGCGTCCATATCTTGGTTGTAGGGAGTCCGCATTTTTTAATACTTCTAAATAATTGCACAGGATACAGACCAATGGGATTCTTGACTTCATAATGGTGAGGGTAAGGACTAAGGCAGAAAATATGGTTTATTTTCCCCTCACTTTGGAGAGTGCCTGGATATTTACTTGTAAAAATGATCAAGTGGCACACTGTTCCCTACAAAGCTATTATAACAAAACCACTAAGCTGTGGGTGTATCAACTGGGGAAATAGGTCTCCAGCTGAGTCACTTTAAGTTCAATTCATTCGATCCCATTCCAGAGTATATCATAGTTCCGTAATTACTGACCCTTTTCGGGGGGGGGGGGGGGGGGGGGGGACGGGCCTGCCTGCTACTCTGGGTCCCAACCCATGAACACTAGAAGTAGCAGCCACCTGCTGCGTCCCTGTATTAATTGCTGCGTTTCCCTGGACCACTTCTCCATGGCCTCCCAGCACCTTTCCTTCACCCTTAGCTCAGACTGAAGTCTTTCTTAAGTCCCAGCAGCCAGCCAGGAGCTCCTTCTTGCTCCCCCAGTCCCTGCCAGTAACTGCTCTGTCCCTGGTATTGCAGTTCCTTCAGCCAGCCAGGAGCACTGTACTCGCTCCTCTGGCTCCAGGCAGCAACTGACTAACTCTTTTACTGCAGCTCCTTTTATGTGGGCTGGCTAGGTCCAGGTTGGCTGCTTCCCTGCAGCCTCTCTAGGCCACTTGGAGGTTTCAACTCCCCTGCTCCTTTCTGGGATGGGGGGTGGCAGGACCAAAAGGTCTCCAGCAGGGGGCCTCAGGGCCTGTACACCCCATCACAATGATGATATAATACCCTGGCTGACAAAGTTTGCAGATGACATATTGGTGGGGAAGTAAATAATGAGGGAGACAGATTACTGTTACAAATAGATCAGAACCACCTGATTAAATGATCGCAGTCTAATAAAATGTGTTTTAATACAGGCAAATGTAAGATAGCATATCTGAGAAAGATGAACAAAATGCATGCTATACATACAGGATGGAAGACACCATCTTGGAAAGCAGTGATTAAGAGAAGGACTTGGAGATCATCCAAGCTAATTGTCTCAATGTGAATGGTGAGTGCATGGTATGGCAAAAGGGCTAATGCAATCCTTGAATGTATGAAAAGAGGAATATCAAATACAACTAGGAAAGTGGTCTTGTCTCTGTACACAGCATTGGTAAGACTGCTACTAGAATATTGTGTCCAGTTCTGGTTCCACACTTCAAGAAAGTTGTGGAAACACTGGAGAGAGTTTTGTGGAGGGCCGCAAAAATGCTCTAAGGGCTGGGGGAAAAAACAGATACTAACTGTTGTTCTTTGAGATGTAACTCTGTAACTGTTGTTCTTCGAGATGTGATGCTCATGTTCATTCCACGCTAGGTGTGCACGCACCACGTGCACAGTCGACGGAGATTTTTCCTTCAGTGGTATCTGTTGGGCCAGCTCTAATGCCCTCTGGTGCCATGCGCTCATGTGTGCATATGAGGGGCCTGGCCGGCTCTGCACCTTCTCAGTTCCTTCTTCCCGGCTAATTCTGAGCGAGGGACAGGAGAGTGGGTTGTGAATGGACACGAGTGAAACATCTTGAAGAACAACATACAGAAAGATTAATAACCATTTTTTTCTTCCTTGAGTACTTGCTCATTTCCATGCCATATTAGGTGACTCATAAGTGGTACCTTAGGATGTGGGCTCAGAGTCGATAGATATGCAGATTGCAACACTGCTCTACCAAACCCGGCATCATCTCTAGCCTGCTAGGTGATGGCATAATGGGATGAAAAACTATGCACTGATGACCAAGCTGCCCCCCTAGAAATATCCAGAAATGCTGCTGAGGAAGCTTGAGCTCTGGTTGAATGGGTGGTCATGATGGCAGGAGTTGGGGCACCCGCCTGCTCATATTATGTGTGAATGCAGGATATGATCCAGGATGAAATTCTTTGGGCTGGAATTGGCAGGCCTTTCATCCCGTTTGCTATTGTCACAAAGAGTTGCGTGGACTTACAGAATCATTTGGTCCTTTTGATATAGAAGGCCGGGGCACGTCTAACATCCTGCGTGTGGAGATGCTGCTCCTCCCTATTCCTGTGCGATTTCACGAAGAATACTGACATGAAGATAGCCTGATTACTATGGAACTGTGAATCCACCTTAAGGTGGAACGCGGAGAAAGGGTGAAGTTGCACCTTGTCCTCAAAGAACACCGCATACAGGGGTTCTGACATTAGCGCTCTGGATCAACCAGACCCTCCTTGCCGAAGTAATTGCTACCAGGGAGGCAACTTTCCAGGAGAGGTATGACAAAGGACATGATGCCAGTGACTCAGAGCCTGTGAGTCTCGACAGGACAAGATTTAGGTTCCACGGTGGAATGGATTCGCAAATCTGCAGTATAGTCTCTCTAAGTCCTTGAGGAAGCAAATGGACATTTTGTGAAGAAAAACCCGACATACCATCCACTGGAGGGTGGAAAGTAGAAATGGCTGCTAGGTGTACCTAAATGGATGAAATGGCTAGGCCCTTCTGTTTCAGATGAAGCAGATACTCCAGCATGGACTGGAGAAGTGACCTAGCAGGTGAGAGACCTCACTGGAATTACCACATGGAGAAACGCTTCCACTTGGCAAGGTAATTTGCTCTAGTAAATGGTTTCTTACTATCTTGCAATACCTGCTGGACTTGCACCAAACATGCCACCTCCACTGGGTTTAACCATGGAGTTTCCATGCATTCAGGTGGAGAGCCTTGAGGTTTGGGTGGAGCAATCGGCTGTGATATTGTGAGATCAGGTCTGTGAGGGGAGGAAGCATCATCAGGGTTGCTACTGACAGGTGCAATAACATGGTGAACCAGTGCTGGCATGGGGCTATAAAAATAAACTGTAGTCTACCCTGTTTGACTTTGAGTAAGACTTTGTTCATGAGAGAAATGGGAGGAAATGCATAGAACAAGTGCTTTTCCAAGGTGAACAGAAAGGCATTTGAGAACAAGCCCAGGCTGTGCCTGCATAGAGAGCAAAACAGTTGACACTTCCTGTTCTGCTTGGTTGAGCACAGGTCTATGAGGGGAGTCCCCCACGATTGGAAGATGGTCATGGCTATATTGGGACAAAGGAACCACTCATGGTAAGAGGAGAAAGGTCTGCTGAGGGGAACTGTCACATTGATCCAGGCTCCCAGAAGGTGAGAAGCTACAAGGTGGATCAAGTGCTTCCCTCAGAATTCCCACAAGTGAATTGCCTCTTGTCACAGGGGGGAAGAGTGTGCTCCTCCATGCCTGTCTATGTAAAACATGGCTTCTGTGTTGTTCTTAGGGACTTGCACAACCTTGTCTGCAATCTGGAGTAAAAGCACCTGGCATGCTAGGCGGACCGCTCTCAGCTCTCTGACATTTATATGCAAGGAGAACGCCTCCTGGGACCATAGACGTTGAGTCCTGAGGTGCTCAAGGTGAGTCCCCCAACCTAGCTCAGTTGTATCCAAGATTGGGGATACTGACGGTTGGGGACTGATGAAGGGAATGCCAAAGCCAACCTCCGGGGGTCCCTCCACCAATCTAGAGAGGTGGGAACCTTGACGGGAACTGTAAGCACTGAGTCCAAATCATGATAGTTTGGTGAACATGCTGAGGCCAGCCATGCTTAAAGAGGTCTAAGGTGCAGTTTCGTGTGTTGCACCACGTATGTGCACGCAGCCATATGACCCAATTGTCTGAGAGAGAAACTGGCTGTTGTGATGGGGCGGGCTTTGACCTGCTATATTAGGGATGACATTCATAGATTCATAGATTCTAGGGCTGGAAGGGACCTCGAGAGGTCATCGAGTCCAGTCCCCTGCCCTCATGGCAGGACCAAATACTGTCTAGACCATCCCTGATAGACATTATCTAACCTACTCTTAAATATCTCCAGAGATGGAGATTCCACAACCTCCTAGGCAATTTATTTCAGTGTTTAACCACCCTGACAGATAGGAACTTTTTCCTAATGTCCAACCTAGACCTCCCTTGCTGCAGTTTAAGCCCATTGCTTCTTGTTCTATCCTTAGAGGCTAAGATGAACAAGTTTTCTCCTTCCTCCTTATGACACCCTTTTAGATACCTGAAAACTGCTATCATGTCTTGAGCAGAAGTCAACACTCATCCCCATTCAGAAGATAGAGTTTATAGGTGTGATGCTTGATTGCACCTGGGTCAGAGCCTTTCAGCCTTTCACAACCCCCCCCCCCCAGTCTT